CTGTCTCTGGTGAAGCCTCTCACCGCCCCTGAGCCTCTGGCCTGTACCCTAATTCTGTATGCACAAATAAATCTTTAAAAAAAAAAAAATTTGAAACTGAATACTCACTTAATAAGCAGCACAAACTCCTAAGTTAAAAACATTGATAAACAATCCTCACTGTATATAAACCCTTTACATGGCTTTGTCTTCTTCAAAGCACAACTCATTGCCTACCTAAAGACACACATTCCTCTTCATTCATCTTCTTTATGTTGATCACATCTTTCTCACATTCTAAGTATTCCAAGAATGCTTTCACAGGCAACACACCATCTTTGTTATCGGAAAATCGGACAGTGGTCCTAGTGTTTTCTTGTTTGTATTTCTCTAACAATCTCTGCAGCTTAAGCAGTTCTTTTCCATCAAGTTTTAATAACGCAGCCAAGTCCTTAAAAACAGTGAAAAAAAGTTTTGAAGAGGCCGTGTCTCTGTTTACATATCTGCCATATATGTCAACCTCACCACATGAAATATAAGGCAAACCATAAGCAAAAGATGACATGGTCTTTAATGAAACAGCTAACGTGCTCTCCTTAAAAACTTTACTCATAAATAAAACTGTATTGTCTGATGTATGAGTTAGAAATTATTTAAATAATGTTGAAACCACATTATTACCAAAAGGATCATTTTTGGAAAAGAGTCTTGAGTGTTTTTTTTATATATATTTCTAAAATGTTAGAATTTTAATAAACATCATTCACAATCAAAAAAGTTATGAGGGTATCAACTTTAACTCTTGTGATTCTGAGGAAATTAAAAAAAAAAACTATTTGAAACTGAATGTTTACTTAATAAGCAACACAAAGTCCATAAGTTAAAAACACTGATATAGTGTATATAAGCCCTCTACATGGCTTTGTAAATTAGGGACGAATATACAAACACACCCATATGCTTATGAGACCATAGACTGGCCACACTGACAAAACTTTCTAACTTCATGCTACATAATTAGAACTGTATTCTTAAATAAGAGCAGTTCTTTTTTACTTTTTAAATAATAATAAACTGTTTTTAAAAATAATAACTGCAAAATGCTATTGCACACATACATTCCAGTAGTTCTATGCTATACTGAACCTGAATTCATTGTGTTCACAGACAACGCAATGAATTCAAGATCTTAATTTTCATTTTTTATGTACAAGTCTGTCAGCCTAGATTCCAATTAAATGTTTTTTGAGGATCTTAACAATTCCAAGCAAAATATAATTTCAATTCTTTGAAAAGTGCTTTAAAAATAAAAAGCTTATCTGCCAAATGATTTTTAAATGTAAGTATTTTATTCTTGCCCACTATAATGGGGCTATCAAGTGGAAATGAATTCTACAGGGATTATTAATGATGTATAATTAACATTCTCTGGCAAGGTATGAAGCAACAAATCATGTGACTCTAAGGGAAAAACAGGCACTGAAGAATCAATTCCTAGCTCGGTGATTCTGTGGATACAACTTTTATATCATCCTAAGCCTGGCTATGTGTGAAATGAGTTTGTAGTACTGCAAAAGTAGAAAGAAAAACAAAAGATTATGAAAAAATGGTATTGATACCAATAGCATCTGTATTGGTAATTAGAGAATACTTTTGTGAGTTTACTGTTAAAATGTTTTATAAGCTCCATCTATAATCCCATACATAAAAAAAGATGTTACAGTGTATCATTTTCCATTAAAGATAAAAAAATTCTCCCATTTTTCTGCTTAAAATATTTTTTACTCATTATGTGTATTTAAAATAAAGGGCTTCTACTTTAATCCTCAAGTTACAGATAAATTATAATTAATTTTCCTTTAAGTAAGACTTGACAACCTGCTGAAGGTTTTAGAGTATTCCAAAGGGAAGAAAGAACAATATTCCCTGTAAGAGAAACTTTACTTCTCCACAAGGAAGGATTTTGTATACACCCTTCAGAAATGACACAGTTACACTGTAACAAAGACTACAAGGTGCTGCCACTTTACATTTCATAGTATAAAAGCAGAACATTTAGTATAATTAAACACTTCAAGTAAGAATACTTTTAAAATGTGCTTTTTTATATAAAGCAAGTGATATGAATTTGCCAACAATATAAAAGATTAATCTCTTCCGTTTAGCAGAATCCTTTCACTACCCACCCCCCCACAACCGCCAATCCCTCTATGCTTCAAGAAATTAAACATTTGCCACTGAGTAAACTGAATATATTTGGTAAACTGAATATATCTCAAGAAATTAAACATTTGCCACTGAGTAAACTGTCACAAAGAAGTTGTATTGTAAGACATAATCTTTAGAAAATGAGTTGAGGGCCTCCCTAGTGGCACAATGGTTTAAAGCGCAGCACTGCAAAGCCACTTCACGAATTCGATGCCCAGCCAGGGAGGTGACCCACCCACATGGTGTGACAGACCTCTCCTGTCTCGCCCACTGCTCCCCTCGGCAGTGCACTTCATCAATCTGCCTGTCCTGTTTCCCGCTCTCTCTGATGAGTCCTCTCACCAGTCCTGCATCTCTGCCTGTACCTCAGTTCTGTATGCATAAATGAAATCTTTTTTAAAAAAAAGAGTTGAGAAAAACCAAATGCTTCTATGTAGTGAAAATGCTTAACAGCAAAATATTCTAGCATAAATGAGGCACAGACAACAGGGGGTTCTGTAAAGAAAATACTTCTTTCTGACTTAAAAAAAATTCTTTATCTTCTACTTCTTAAATAGCAAGCATAAAAAATTCAAATAACCAAAGATTATTCTGTGTGATATAATAGTTTAGGATTACTCACATCATCAGAGAATGGTGTATCTAAATGAAAATCAAGGGAATTTAATTGACTGACAGACTCATAAAGATGGAGCAGTTTCAATTTATTGGTACAAAACTGGAGCAATCCTTCATCAACAGACTCAAGTTCTAAAAGTCAGAGGGAAAATACATTAGAACATATTTAATACAGTCATAAAAGGCTATGCTTTGATCAAATTTCCTAATCTCATACAACTCATTTAAACTACTATATTTGGGGTCTTCCCTGGTGGCACAACGGGTAAAGATGCAACACTACAAGCTAGCCACAATGCGTCAGCACAAGCTCGATCCCCGGCCCCGGAGGTGATCCACATGGCATGGCAGACCTCTCCACTGCTCCCTTCAGTAGCGTTTACTTCATTGACTGCCTGTTCTGCTCCCCACTCTGTCTCTGGTGAATCCTCTCAATGCCCCTGCACCTCTGCTTGTATCCCATATCTGAATGCATAAATAAATAAATCTTTTAAAAAATTATAACAGTTTACTTTTACATAATTTTGTGCATTTTTCCATCTCAGTTGCAATCCCCTTGGGCTTCCCATCACCAAATCACCTAATCACCTGTGTGCCATCACCATAGTCCAGTGCATTTCCCTCTCCCCACTGTTCTTGATCCCATTCCCCACTCCACCCCCACAAAATATCTCTGGTACATAGCTGTTCATCATTATCATTTAAATAAATCTTTTTAAAAAAGAAACTACTGTATTAAATACTGAGATGCTTAAGTTGTAACAGATTTATAAGGCAGAGAAATTTTCCATAAAGGCCAAAAGAAAATTTTAAGTGCAAAAATGTGCTTCTAATAGTAGGGACAAAAAGGAAAAGGAAGGAAGAACTATTGTAGTTTAATACTCAATTTTAAGTAATCAATCTGGGAACAGATCTGAAATAGTCCTCTCCTCTTGTTACTTAAAGGTTGCCTATCACACCCACAAACTGAGGACAGACAAATAGAGATCTGCCTGGCCTCTCTATTTCCATTGTCATGTCAAAAACATGACAATTTAGAAAGAAACTGGATATAGACTCTCAAGAAAGGATGGCAAAGAAGCCAAAATCAGACAACAACCTCCCATCGATCCAACTCTTTCAAGAATGTTAGAGAATTACTCTGATACATTCCTGCACAATAACTCAAATATTTCTGTCTAATAACAACCAATATTTATTCTTTGAAAAGGCAGGCCTTGGCCACCCTCAAGAATCCATAGTGAGGACAGAGTAACAGTAAAATAGTGTTTTTATAGCCATAATGAAAACTAGCACACTCAACATTCTGAGGAATCTTACTTGTGCATAGAATTTGAAAACAGTGAGGATATCCTAGAACCCCAACAATGTTTGTTTACTTTCCTGTCAGAGCAAGATCATTTTTAGTTTAATAAGATTTATGTTCTGTTAAAGTCTTGAGGGGTTGTGGTGGGGGAGGGCTTTATAGATGTGCTATGCTTTTTTAAAGAGGCATTTCTACAAATCTGTGTGTTTAAGGAGTACACCATCTGCCAAAAAGTAATTTCCACATGCATGTTGAAAAAATTATTGGAATTATGACGATTAAAAAGTCCTGAAAGGGCATGTTGTGATTTGTTTATTAAACTGTGTTAGTTGGCTTAAGTATAATTAAATGTAAAGCTGAGTTTGTATAATTAAAGCAAGAAGCAACAACTCATGGCTACACATTACAATTTACTGATGCTGGAAACCAGAATAAATAGAATTTTGTTCAGTGAGGTATGATATGGAGTGCTAACTTCACAATTACAGACAGACTACTTTTACAGACTAGTTTTCAATAGCAGAAAGGAACCAGAAAACAGAGAACAGTAATTGTACTACATGATTCTGGAAGGCCTAACTCTGTTCACAAAAGGAATGGATGAGAATATGTGGGTGCCACGTATACTAACAGAACATTATTTCAAAGCATAAGTACTTTTTATCATTATCTTGGTCAAAATGGCATTAAAGAATGCTTGTCTACAGAAACCTATCTCTGGTTACATAAAAAACCAGCACAGCCAAAGCATTGGCCACTTCTGCCTGAAACTTGCTCATCAAGCTTTCAGCATATCCCACAACTGTACCAATATGCCCACTTCTCATCATTCTATACTGGTTGCCTTTCCTCACAGCAGAGGGATCCAGAGGAGAGATTTACATTAGGAATCAGTCAAAATTTTCAGAGAAAGTTTGAGGAAGCTCACCTGCACACACTGACTAGGCAATAAAATAGAAATCTCCTATACTTAAGGCATGAAATAAGATTCCTTATTTCTTATGTATATTATTTCCATACTAATCCAACATGATGGGATCATAACAGTTAATGGCTTTTATAATCAGTTATAAAATGGGAAGACAGACCATGATTTCCAGTCAGTACAAACCCTATTACCTTGATTCTTTAAAGTGTCCATCAAAGTCTGAGTGATGTTTCTAAGGCAGGAAAATGGTAAACGTTCACTTGCCAAAATGCTTTCCAAAGCCTAGAAGATATTGAGCAATTTTAGTCACTAGAATGCAAAAATTTTATGTTCTTAAGTTTTATATTTGTGCCTACAGTTTACCCAAAATGCAGAAGGAACTCCATGTTGAACAGACTTTGAAGGGACCTTTAAAACAGGTAAAAAGTTGCCCTCCCTGGTGGTGCAGCGGATTAAAGCACTGCACTGAGAAGCTAAAGTCACTTCCGCATGAGTTCGATTCCCCCCTGCCCCGGAGGTGACCACATGGCGTGGCAGACCTGTCCTGGCCCGCCCGCTGCTCCCCTCAGCAGTGTACTTCGCAGATCTGCCTGTTTTGCTCCCCACTCTGTCTCTGGTGAAGCCTCTCACCGCCACTGAGCCTCTGGCCTTTACCCCAGTTGTGTATGTACAAATCAATCTTTAAAAAAAAAACAGGTAAAAAGTTAAAAAAGTCAGTGATCTATGGCTACTATACATGAAAAAACTAGCAAATAAGTAGCCACTAGCTATCTGGTTCTGATTCAAAGTACAATAGATTTCAGAGATATCCCTGGGGACTCAAATGCCATAGAATTAGAAGAATTTATAGTCACGCAATGGGCTATGATGCACTTAGACAAGAGGAGTGAAGTAAGAGAAAGGACAAAAAGGCCCCATTTATGTGAACTTGGCAAAAGGGAACCAACCTGACATGACTATGGCATGCGAGACAACAGAGCACAGGCCAGCAGACAGCACAGATGGACACACCTCATTATAAGCATTTTTAAGATGTGAATGGTGCAGCCAAACCAGCTCACAGCCTAGCAGCGCCACTCTTACATATAAACTGAGGAGGATCTCTTTCATCTATGCACCAGGAAATATGCACAGAGATAATCACAGTGTCACTGTTTGTAACAGCAAAAAAAAGCTGGAAACAAACTGAAGAGACACTGAGATATATCCATACAGTTCATGACAAGCCACACATTAACATGGCTCTCTCAAGGAGTACAGTCACAGAAGTCATGGAGCATGACCCCATTTATCCGAAGTTTTAAAAGGTAGAAAATGCATCAATATGTTTTAAAGGAACCATACAGAAAAGAGATAACTACAAAGAAAAGTAAAAGAAAGAGGAATGTAAAATTCTGAACACTAGTCACCTCTGAGGAGGGAAGTGGGATTCTGAAGAGTTCCTGACTTATTTCCTAAGGTGGGTGATCATGACCATGTTTATTATTTTCTTTGATCTGAAAATATCTAGTGTATGTGAAAATGCATGCACTCACATGTATGGTAGTATCTTAATTTAAAGAGAGAGAAAAATAATAGGAACTGCCCATGAAAACATAAAAAAGAATGTACTAATAAAAACATGAAGACGACTTTAGCCTTCCATAATCTGGGCAATTAAAGAAGTTATCTGTAATAACTCCTTAGCATATATTACATATACTTACCTGTTTTTTGGTTGCAGGGTATTTAATATCAAGAATTAATTCCTTTATTTCAGTTTCGAACATATCTAGAGAGAAAAATCACGGTAAAATTGGCCCTTTTTACTTAGCAAACTTTGTTCTGGGAGGGAAAAAAAAAAACACATCTGCACTATCAGTGAATCTAAAGAATTTCTGGGTTCTCTCACATTGTTTCTCGTGACAAGCTTTAAATCTGAATGGCACACTTCTTTCTACAGAAAGATCCTAATAAAAAGTACATAATCGAGGCTCTCCCTCATGGCACAATGGGTTAAAGCACCATATTATGAAGCTCTATGAAGCTACTGCAGCACAAGTTTGATCTCCCACCAGGAGCTGACCCACATGGTGTGGCAGACCTCTTCTGACCCACCCACTGCTCCCCTCAGCAGTGTACTTTGTCAATCTGCCTGTTCTGCTCCCCACTCTGTCTCTGGTGAATCCTTTCACCCACCACACCTCTGTCCTGTACCCTAGTTCTGTAAGCATAAATAAATAAAACTTTTTTTAAAAAAGTACATTAATTACTTGAAGCTCATTCACTGCACAAGGGGTTGCAACTGCTCATAAAATGCACTAGCTTGTATTTCAGAATATTAATTATGGAAAGTGACGTAACAGTATACTTTATTTTTATTAAAGGATACCAACCAAGACTGGGAGATTTTGTTTTTAGTAAGGCTGACAGTTTCTTCACCAAGTGCATGTCCTTTGCTCGTTCACTCTTCTTATCACTAAAACAATAAACACAACAAATTCTCACAGAAGGTGTAATGTTTTGTTTCTAATTCTGACACACTTCTTTTTCCATTAGTGTAGTCCAATTTCTTTAAATTTTAAGAACGGCAGACAAATGATAAATGAAACTACAAAACAAAGCAAAACAAGCAGCAAAATAAGCCAGCGGGGACACCGAGGCAGCTGCTTGAGACCCTCACCTCAGCGCCAGGTGGAAAGGGACGTGCACTGTCTTCACACTTCCAGACACTGGGTCCACCAGACAGATCTGGTGGGTCTGCGGCTGCCAACTCTGACTGGTCACATTATTTAAGCCCATTATTTTATAGCCAGGATACAGGAGCCTAAGGAAATACATACCAACATGGTGCAATATTAGCACAAGGAGCTATGTCAAAAGATTTCTTTAATACAACTAAGAAAGAAAATGCCTTTAATACAACCATTGCAAGGTTACCTTGCAATGACAAAGTATTTCCCTCACTTAACATCATTACCAGGAGGTTGAAGCTATCTTCTCTTTTGTGTCTCCACATCAAAAAGAAGGGGTGGGGACAAATGCCATTGACTGAGCTACCTTTAATTTGGCAGCATACCAGGTCATTTCAATAATGCTTCTTAGCTATTAAATACTTATTCCTTGATTATATGCCAGGTATTTTAGGAACACCTAATAAAGAACATTCCAATTCACAAACAACTTGCAGTATAAGCAGCAGTTCTAAGGAAGAAGGCTGCACTTAGTAAAGCAGTTCCTGTCATGACTGGGAACGTGCCAGGTTTCACTCACCGGCAGTGCTTTCCCACGTTGAAGGCGCCTACTCGAGGCCCTTGCTGGGTGCTCCATACTTCTAAAATTCCCCTTCTGGGGGCATAGATGACAAGAAACTGAGCTACTCGACTTGGGCCCTGAGTATTTCCAAAGGGGGAAATATCCACCTTTTCTGGAACTCTTTCGTGAAGGTCCTCTACAACTTGGATCCACCCAGTCTGGGCATCTCGGTACCCTTAGAGAAAGAAAAGGAAAGCTCATTAATGTTGATTCAGTAGTAGCCTTCTGAAGCACTTGGAGATATTTAAGTGGGGTGTTTGATCAAAATTATAAAAATCTTTTTATTGTGAAATGCCTCAAAATAATAATTATTAAAATACTGAATCACTAAGGTTTCAAATCTTAACATTTTACTCCAGATGCTTCCTTTTTTAAATTTTTTTAACTATCTTTTAGATTTCATGAGCACTCTGCCCTGAACGCACTGCCGTCCTGCTCCCTATAAAATATTCACTCCTTTAAAAATTCTATTGGGGGGGGGACCCTCCCTGGTGGCGCAGCGGGTTAAAACACTGCACTAAGAAGCTTAAGCCACTTCCACATGAGTTCGATCCCTACCTGCCCTGGAGGAGATCCACATGGTGTAGCAGACCTCTCCTGACCCACCCACTGCTCCCCTCAGCAGTGTACTTTGTCGATCTGCCTGTTCTGCTCCCCACTCTGTCTCTGGTGAATCCTCTCACGCTCCGCATCTCTGGCTTGTACCCTAGTTCTGTATGAATAAATAAATCTTAAAAAAAAAAATTCTATGGGGGAAGACATGGAATCAATCCAAACACCCAATGTAAATGACTAGATTTAAAAGATGTGGTAGATATACACAATGAAGTATTACTCAGCACTCAAAAAAGATAAACTCATGCCTTTTGCAGCTACATGAATGGAGCTGGAAGGGATCAAGCTTAGTGAAATAACCCAGAAAGAAAAAGAAAAATAGTGGATGGTTTCACTCATAGCAGGAGCATAAAAGGACTAGCACTTTGAAGTTACTACAGCCACTGCAGCACAAGTTTGATCCCTGGCCAGGAAGCTGACCCACACAGTGCAGCAGACCTCTCCTGACAGGCCTGTTGTTTAACTCAGCAGTGTGTTTCAGTCAATCTGCCTGTTCTGCTCCCCATTCTGTCGCTGGTGAATCCTCTCATGCCCCTACACCTCTAGCCTATAGCCCAGTTTTGTATCTGTAAATAAATGAATCTTGTAAAAAATATATATGCACATATGTAAGAAAAAAAGATGAAACTGATTTCCTGCTGGCATGTAGATAGAAAACATGGGTTGTAGAGCATATGGAGAGAGCTCTAATTCATGAGAGGAAAGGTGAAGATGACACTGCACTGTCTCCATTTAGGGTGGCCCCTCTCAGGTCTCTCAGTATGGGGAGAAAACCAACACACAAACTGTGGAACAAGCACTATCACCACTAATAAGATCTATGTGAAGGATTTGGAAAGGCTGCTAACACTTTTGTTCTTTATATTCTAGGAAAGTCTTGCTAAGAACACATCCTTATTTCAGAAGACAAACATCAAAGAGAAATGACACAACTGCATCACTGACACCTATTTCTACAGACACCCTGAGTCTTCTAATTTGTGGCTGTAAGTGCTACAGGAATACATGGCCACGAATAGTGGCTTCAGTCTGGTGCTCAAGTCCAGTATTTTTCACACTGACAAGTACAGACCAGACTATACCATAATATGGGTTTTAAACAGTAGTTTGTGCTGATGTGCTACTGTTTGAGATGATTCCAAACAATAGATTCTCCTCCTTCTTTTTAGTTAAGGAAATCTGCTTTTATTCAGGTTGACACTGTACCTAGATACTGTCAAGTCTCCCTTTTAGTTAGGTATGACTATGTGACTAAGCCTTGCTACTGTCTTATGAGAAAAGGTTGGCAGGACTTTAGGAAAAGTCTTCCAGTGGACTGACTCAGTTGGCAGATGTTTCTTTCCCTTTCTTGCTTCCTGGAAAGCAGGTAAGAAAGTCAGGGCTTAAATGGTCAACTAAGCCACAAGATAACCTTGAGTGGGAGGGTTAGATGGAAGGAGACTGGGTAACTGAGGATATCATGGCTATCTTATCCATCATGTACTTGGGTCTGTTAGTAGCAGTTGGACACAACTCCTAACTGACATAGCTACTGTGAAATTAAGTGAACTGACACAAGCCTATGGATATGGAATTCAAGTCCATAAAGATAGGTTTTGACAGGTTGTAGCCATCTTCAAATCTGAAAGACTTGGCATTCTAGGTTTGAGAAGAACATCTGATCAAGCATGATCTTGCAAAGTGAAATGAATGTAACCAGAGCAAGGAACTTATTTCAGAAATTGACCATATGTTAATAACTGAACAGAAGTCTATAAGGAAGAGGTTCATCGAGTCTATCAGTTGATTGAATTGGAAGATAGAACAATGTGACCATTGGATCACATGTTGCTGATCGGAGTCAGAAGTCTATAAGGAAGAGGTTCATCGAGTCTATCAGTTGATTGAATTGGAAGATAGAACAATGTGACCATTGGATCACATGTTGCTGATCGGAGTTCATGTGAAAAGAAGGACAGAAACACAAGATTTAACAACACTATCAACTAGAAGTCAAAGGGTATACTGTTCAACTCTTGGGTAAAAGGCCAATTAGTTTTTTTTCCTTGACTTTTGTAAATAAGTACCTTTCCACATACGTATTGCAATCCCCCTAGCTACATCCAATAAAGTAACTCTTCCAAAATCATCTGTTACTGCTGCCAGTGTGTTACATGGAGACAGGCAGATCCTTTCACCATGGCGTCTGGAATCTGGAAGCCCAAACCTGGTATTTCCAAGAAAATAAAAAACTAAGTCAAATTCCAATCTAGAAATATGCAACAGGAAAATGAAATGTATAAACAAAATAGGCTGAATCTGTTTTTATAAAAGAAATATGAACCGTGCATAGGTTAATTTATTAGTCAATCACACCTGACATTTTGCAATAGGTGCTTCTATTATAAAATAGTATATTTTACTTCTAAGTTTTCTATATAGATATCTACATTATAAAGAATAGGATATAACTATCTTTCCTTGAGTAAGCAGTAAGTCATAGAAAATAGTCTCCTCACAATTAACTAAATTTAGAATACTTTACTCCTATACAGCATCTTTTGCCTAAGTTTTATTGCTAATCTATGCTCTTTTTCTTAGGTATTTTATCTTTCTGACATTAGCATGCTTATTTAAAGCAACAATGTGCTCCTTTCAAATAGTTCTCTCCAAACAGCTCTTGGTCTATAAGCAACTTTATTAGACTAAGGAATAAAATAAGAGGTACTAAGAAAGCAGAAGGGCACATTTTGAGAAAGCAGTTTCAGAAGCTCAGATTTCATGTGGTGAAGCACCAGAACTCTGGCACATTATTTGATGCACAGGGCCAGTTGGCTTATTTCTTGATTCTTGGATGAATTTAGATAATATTATGTATCATAGCAAAGTATTTTAAAGTAAGACTGAAAAAATACAGCTTATTGCCAAACCATCTAAAACATTTTAAGTGAAGAAATTCAACAGCTATCACAAAACTTAATTTCTCAGTGCTTAAGCTAATAGGTTTGTAAAGACACATATTCAACTCAATCACATGGAGCACCTAATAATGACAGGTGAACATCTGTAAACAGGTAAAAATCAATGTCTTCATGGAGTTTACATTCCACTGGAAGAAACTGGCCCATATTACTGACTTTCGGAAGTTACAAGGACTCACGAAATCAATAAATCCACCACAAATACTGAAAGAATCAATAATTTAACATTACTTTTCTAAAAATAATAAAGTTTGAGATGACGACTGACTTGCCTTACAGCTAATGGGGTAGCTGGTTCAACCTTCGGTTTTTGCTTTTGGACTACTTCTTCCTCATGCTTATTTTTCCAACCAAGCCATCCGCTGAAAAGAAAGAAAAGTTAAAACAGTTATCAGATTTCAGGGCAGTGCCAGCTCTTAAAATACAAGTCAGCACCAAGATCATTACAAAGGAGGAGATTTTTATTTTTTGTAGTTACCTGGCAGCATTAAATAAAGCAGAAGTGAGTTTACTTGCAACTGCTAGAGCCACATGAGATAATAATGGTTGTGTGCTTCCCTGAAAAAAGAAAGAAGCTTTGAAAAAGAAAAATGCTTAGAAGATTACTTTCTAAACTAAACTTACTTTTTAAAAGTTCTGAAAAGTGTAAAGCCTGTACTAGTGAGAATAATTCAGTTTCTTGTATAGCCAAAACTTTACTAGAGGAGGTCGTGTAGCAATAAATATAATTAGGAGTTTTATTTTGATAGCTTAAAAGTAAAATCACCAGTAGAAGATTTCACCTTTAGGACTTCCCTCTTTGAATAATGATTAAGAAAATTTTAAACTAGGGCATTAAAGGGGCATTATTCTAGCAGGGATACTGACTTCTTATCTACACACAAATGGCTTTCTTCCCTCTTTTACTGTAATGTGTGTTTTTATATAAAATAAAAAGATGGTTTGGAAAAATCTGAGATAGCTTTTTAAGTGAGAAATAAGAGCTGCCAAATCTAACACCTAACTCTTCCCTATTTTAGGAAGCAATTTTCACCACTTACATCAGCTATAGTTAGCAGCTTGTTCTGTCTTTACAATGCCACATTTACTCAAATCCTCAGTGGGCAGACATCATTAGCAAACCTGAGTTGTTAACTTTTGCACCAATATTGAAAGATGACTCAAATGTCCAAAAATATAAGGTATCAGAAACAAAGAAGTCTGCTTGCTTTACAGTGACATTAATACCATTTTTAATTACTGTAAAAAACTGAGAAGAAATCCAGTTGGAACTTAATTTAGTTTAAATTGAAACTTAGAAAAGTAAACTGTTTAATCTTTCTAAGGCTAAGTTACTATACCCAATTTGTAAAAAATTAAAAGTGGTCTTATTCATAGTGGTGAAACTCTTACCTCCAAGGCATAGAAGAAGCCAGTAAATGGATTGGACCCTACTGTGATATACTGAGACATGGCAGGTAGACTGTTTTTAATGGTTGCATTATAGCCACCAATATTAGAGGCAGTCTTCATTTGATCAAAAGGAGACAGAGTCATAATACCTAATGACAAAATAACAGTAATACAAAATGTGAATGCACTTAAATGACACTATCACGGGGTTATTAAGTTTTTATTTCATCTCCTTCCTAAAATCTAACTACTTAGTATTACTTAACAAAGAAGTCATTTTTAAAAGTTAATCAATGTTACAAAACACTCATGACATTAAAATTGCTATCTCTAATTCCTCTAATCTCTAATTACAACAAAACAAAATTTAAATATTAACTTTTTTAAACATTCAAAATTTAAATGGTGCAAGAATAAAATAATCTATACCTTGATAAAAGCTCCAACTTACTCAAATAACTCTATCAGACCTTTGTCTCATTATTTTTGGGAACAAAAGGTCTTTTTTTTACTTGCCTGAAATGCTACTCTATGGGGTCTAGAGCCTTCTCATGGGCAGAGAAGATTGCACACTAGGACTGCTCCAGGGTGAGGGCAGGGTGGAAGGAGACTGGGCAGGACCCCTTGCCAGTGGCCACCAGGCCTCCTTCCAGCAGGAAGATCCAGTTCACTTCTAAGAGGCAACAACTGTTACAGTTTCTTAAGCTTTTCCCCAGAGATGTTGAACATACACAAACAACATACCACATTGATAAAATTTCAAAAAGCTGTCTGACTTCACTTAAGCAAAATCAAAGGGAGAACCATATGGCTATAAATTGAAATTTAAGTTTTAAAATTACTTCTTTACATGCTCTCACACTGTGGGCAAGATTGCTACAAGCTATATGAAGAACAATTTGGTGATATCTACCTCAAATTATAAGTGGATTTATTCTGAAGACATGGCTGATCAGCCCTTTCCATCCTTAACCACTAGTGATTTTTTCCTTCCCACAGAGAAGTTCTCCCCTTTCAATTCAGTACATTAGTACATTAGGCTCAGCATTGTAATTTCAGCCCATCCTTTTGATCTAGTTTTCCATCTCTATTACTCTGTAAACTCTGTAATAATTCACATCTTCAAGAGTTCATTTCACTGATCCTACTAATTTTTCACTATCAAGCAACATGTGTGATCACATTGCTTTCTATCCAGCAGTCCGTTTATTCCATCAAAATAATTCTGAGAGAGCCACAACATCCCTGACCCTCCCCCCACACTCCTCTAGCAAAACTTCAACCTTAGTCAAGTTATTAATTTTAGCATTGTTTTTAAGTGTGTTTAAGGTCAATGGACAGATAAGCTTAATTATAACACTTCATTATAACTCCTATTCTTCTCTCTCTATCCTTTTAATATATCCACACATCAAAATTTTTAATTAACATTCACTGTTTTGAAATCCATCCCTTACCTCAAAGTTGTCTACCTCTCTGCAGCATCAGCTTCTACCCTAAAGAAAGCCAGCATTCTTAATGCAGCAAACTCTTTGCTGGCTTCCTTGTTTTCACTTTTCAAGTTATAAGCCTCTTCTTTAACAGCAATCATAGGGCTATTTTTAAACACCCTATATTAATCATCAATAGAATCCACTACATTTGGAATAAACTTTCATCTTGTGATCTTATGTTTATGTTTCTCTAATGAAAGATTTTAAGAATTTCTTAGGGTTTAAGTCTGAGCAACTGATTGGATGATCAGACTTACTGATATGAGAATAAGGAGAAGGAAGAGGCTTGAGGTGGGTGAACTGAAAGTTATGTATTTTACAAGTAAACCTTCATAGGATTATAAATTCAAATGGAGGTGTCAGTTTACAACGTGAACCTTCCCTCATCCTTTCACCTTCCTCTCACTCCTATTCTATATAATCAAGGCACATCAATTTCCTTTCTGTTCCTTAACATCCATGTCTTCGAGGCCCCCTAGGCCTGTCTACTGTCTCCTTTGTCTACACAGCTCTTCTACACCTCTTCCACTCAGTTGGCTCCTCTTCACCCTGCCTGACTCAGTCTGAATGTCATTTCTCTGAGCTAGGTCACTCTCTTCCTTTATACTCTCTAATCACCACCTGTTTACTTCTTCATGTGGCTTGCTAGTGACATTTAGGTTTTAACACACTTAGTGATTTGGCTTCATGATTTACTGCTTATCTCTCTAGCAACAGATTTTAAACTTCATCAGAGCAGGAGTCCTGTCTACCATGTATTTCTAGTATCAATGTTAGCACATGGTTCATAATAGGTATCCATTTCTTTAGATGTTGAATGAATAAATCAGGCTTTTAAGCAAAGGTCACTGCACTTTTTTTTTTCCATCTTGTAGGCTGGGAGAGAAATGAATAGAGTAATATTTTCTATTCAATCATCTTTCCTAGCCTGTTTCAATGTTCCAAAGTTTAATTAACAGAACAGGGAAGGTACCCTGAACTGAACTCAACACTTTGGAATATCAACGCATTTTTACAATAGCAAAGAAGCAGAGACAAAATGAAAGTCAACCAATAAGTGTTTGTCACAGAGTTTCCCATACAAGAACTATGCAACAATAAAGACAAGATCTGTGTGACAATTAACTTTTCTCCTGCTGCCCTCCCAGTGCTGGGCATACAAACCTCCAGCTGGGTTTAGACAATGGAAAGCCACACTGGCACATTAGACAAAAGAATGGACTTAGGATATCCATTTCCCTGTGACTGCAGCATGGTCTTATAAGGCGCTGAAAGTCATTACCGTAAGTTCTGGAACTACTCCTAGCCCTCATTGCCACTGGCATTAGAGCAGTTAACAGCTGGGCTGCTTAGAAGTCCTGAAACTGTACATTCCCATATGGTTCTCCCATACCACATCTTTATAAATAGTTTCTCTGCAAATAAAACCCCCTTTTAATACCTTACTTCAAGTGTGCCATGTGACTTCTGCTTAGGATTAGGAAAAAAAAAAATACCTTGTAATATAGCTGGGATAATACAATCCTACTTATAAAAGCACATTTTTCTATAAAACCATACATATGTTATACATGCACGTACACACAAGCCTATAAGGATGTTTACCAATGGTGCCTATCTCTAAACAGAAGAATAAGGAGATTATTTCTCTTTTTTTATATACTTATGAACTGTGAACATTTGAGCTAGTACACACTGCTGATAAACAAAAAATACATGTATATTTAAAAAGACATTTCCTTCTTTTCCATCCCCCATTTCAACTACCATAATTCAGAACCCTGTTATAAATCACCAAGAGTATCACATGTGCCTTATAGCACCTAGTTTCTAGTGGTGACCCTTATGTTGCAATTTCTAAACTTTCACCAAAGTTAAGTTTCTATCAGGTCAAATGATAATATCTTCTTACTCAAAACTTTTCAGTGGTTCTCAAGGTAGGGAAGGGAAGATCTAACTTCATTTGCCTGGTAGAGATGGCCCTTCAAAACCTGACTCCTCTTTATGTACTAGGCTTCACTCCTGCCAGTTTCCCTCGATTCTCCCCATTTTCCAGCATGCAGAACACTTCTACCCCTACATTAGCTAGAAATACTCCTCTGTGCTCATTCTTGGTCAAGTCCTACTCACTCCTTACATCTCAGATCAAAGCCAACCTCCTGTTCCCTAATTCCCTCAGGACTGGAACTTCTCTTTCTGCCACAGGTGGGTCATGTGTCTATTATCACAATCGTTATACTGCAGTGCTGTGTTTCTTCCAGCTAGCATGCTTCTTGAAAACAGAGATCTTATCCTTTTCACATCTGTATTTCCAATATCCAACACAGTAGATCTTCAAAAATGAGGCACAAGAAGAAATCTGTTTTGATCTATATTCTACTGCTTTAAAAGGTACATTTCTAAAAGACTATATCTGTCTGTGGAAATAGTTAAGTCAAACAGTGGGTGACATGAAACTGTACAATTATTAAAACTGTTACCATTTCATAAATATATAGCTATGATAATCAGACCTTTCAATCATCAGAACTTTCAAATGTCACACACACTTTTCACGTAAGAATAAATGCATGTCTTATGAGATACATTAATCAAAAATGTTTAACTACTAATGCTTACCAATACTAGCATGATCAATAATACTGTCAATATCTTGTAGACCCCATTTCTTGTAAGCTAATGGCGGTGGTTGTATGTTCTCATTGCCTGATGCTGCAGCTGTCAAAGGTAAAAATTAGATAATCCAAACTTAATTATAATGAATGAAGTTTTACCCCCCAAACATCAGTAAAAATATAATAACTTGATTGATTACTCTAAAATTACACTTAGTAACAATGAGGCAAAGTAATATACACAAGATATAAAATGAAATTTATTCACACTAAGACTATGCACATAAAGTGCAAACATTAATAAAGTTGGTTGTCACAAGAGATTCTGGAATGCTCAAATATTAAAGACTATTAAAAATTCTACTACCACTATTACTACTAAAAATCACATTGAATTCAAACAGTAATTGAAACCCACATTTCTCCCTCTTGTAAAAGAGATTAGAATCCAGGGAACAGCAACCAAGTGCATGGTGAAAAACTAAGAACCAGATGCTATGCCTGACAGGAGTTCACATATACAGCAAAGTCGCTAATGCCAAGACTGGCCAGGCCTGAGGCAAAGATATGCAGTAGCAACAGCCTTGCACGCAGTGAGTAAATAAAAGGAAAGTAGATAGTTACATCTCCAGCCATGGGTTCACGCATGAGGGCCCATTTATCAATAATTCTTAAGCCACATTCTATCCTCTATTCTGGATTCTGGTTGTTTACTCTGGTAAGTAAAGTATTTTAGTTAAGGAAAGCTCTTTAGGGCCCTTCTTGGTGGTGAAGGGGTTAAAGCACATCACCATGAAGCTACTGGCAGCCACTGCACCACAAATTTGATCTCTGGTCAGGGAGGTGACCCATTTGGCAAGGCAGATCTCTCCTGTCCTGCCTTGCTTCTCCCCTCAGCAGTATGTTTAAGTCAATCTGCCTGTTCTGCTCCCCATTCCATCTCTGGTGAATCCTACCACCTGTATCCCAGTTCTTGTATGCAAAAAATAAAGACCTTTAAAAAAAAGGAAAGCACTTTAGATTTCACTAGGATACACAGGAAATGAGAATTTTTCAATACTGTAAAATAAAAGTCACAGCAATTTATGGCTAAGTAATCAGAATTCGCCTCAGAGTAAATTAAAGTAAGGGTCACTAAGTGGCTATCTTACTACTTCATAGGTAACAAAAAGGATTTATTGTATTTATAAATAAAACATCAGGAATTAAAAAATAAGTGGCTGACAATAAAAGCTAAAACATAATTGTCTATTTCTAGTGTATGGGTAATACAAGTAAGAATTCTTTATTATGGGCATACCTTTCATTCCCAAGTCTGGAAAGAATGTAGTTGTCTATGTATGTGTTATATTTTGGCTCCCACTATTCCATGTTAGCAAAAGAAGCTTATGCTGATTCCCTGTTGGGTCCTATTAACTGTGGGCATATAGTTATTTTTACCCACATAAGAAGGGAAGTGATAGGCAGTCAAATAATTTTAATATTGGTCCAACTGCTGCTTATCTAGCAAGACATTTGATTCCTCAGTTAATGCTACTAAACTCCTCACCGCAATGCTGACTCTCAATACAGCTGCAGATCTTTCTTAACTGGCCAAACACATTGCTGGAGTAATAAGTAAAGTCTGTTATTCATGAGATGGTCACTCTCCACTAGCAGCTGTAAAGAGGGTTGATGCTCAGTCCTTGCTTTTGCCTTAATAAGTAACCCACACACAACAAGGAATGCCTATTCTTATAGTAGCAGGGGTTGCCTTTAAATCTGGTTTGGAAGTTTTCTATATTTAGAAGACAAATTTAACTCTCTAGTTAAGTAAAATTATGTATTTTTTAAAAATTTATTTATTTATGCACACAAAAACTGGGGTATAGGCCAGAGGGGTGGGGGTAAGAAGATTCACCAGAGACCAAATAGGGAGCAGAACAGGCAGATTTATGAAAATACACTGCTGAGGGGAGCAGCAGGCAGGTCAGGAGATATCTACCCAGCCATGTGGGTCACCTCCCTGGCTGGGGATCAAACTCATGCTGCAGTGGCTACAGGTAACTTCATAGTGCTGCAATTTAACCTGTTGTACCACCAGGAGGGCCCTAGGTAAGTTAAATTAAATGAAACAAACAATATTAGAAGTTAGATTTTTTTTTTTGCCAAAAAAAATTACCTTTTGCTACCTGATTTCGACAAGCACGAAGAGACTGAAAAAGACTAAACCCATCAATAGTGACAATGGCAGCTGGGTATAAGATACTCAACTCTTCATTCTATTAAAGGACAGGGGGAAAAAATCATAAATTTTCATCATCACCAAACAATTACATATATTTTTTGTAACTGAATATTATGATTAATAAAAGATGTAAAAGATCTAAAAGCAAACAAATGTCAATCACCCAATACATCAGATAGTATCAGGCAAAAGGTAATAAAAAGAGAAAATTGTCTTCTGAATGCCTTTGAACAAGGACTTACAATTTTTCTGAAATATAAGCTTCTATACGGTAAATACTTCTTTTTGGATAGATGATGAGTTTAACATAATGAATGGACACAAATTTCATAAAACTCAAGTATAATCATTGTACACACACAAATAGGAGATAAAAGTAAATCACATCCTACCCATGTCTGAACACATTTTCTCACATATCGTCAACCACTTTTCGATGAGACTGTCACATTTTGTATTTTATTATTCATTTATTATTTATGTCAAATCCAGTAAGTGAACAAAACATTTCTATACAGTATTGCATTATATGCACCAGAATTTAGTTAACTGATGGGCATTGTTTGACCTCTTCCTTCCACTCTTGCTTTCTACAATCTACATTTCACATAGCCATTGTGAATCCTCATGAGACAGCAGATCTAACCACTCTCTTGATTTAAAACTCTCTAATAGCTTCCTTCTGCAGTTAGAATGAAACCTGAGCTCTTTGGTTAGGCCTGCAGGATCCAGCACATATTTATGTCACCTCTCTCCTGCTTTGCTCTTTGATCATTATCACTTAGTTCTCCTGCATGTGTGTAGATCTTCTCCTTCCAGATCGTCACTTAATTTCTGATCACTCAGTCTCACTTAAATGCCGTTACCCAGACAGGGCACTCTTAAGTCTCTGTCTTAAACAACCTGACCATTCTCTTCTCACATTACTATCGCATCAAGAGGATTCAACTTCTATCTTCAGTGGCTTTCTGTTGGTTCCCCTCCACCAATCCCAAACTGTAAACCCCATGAAAGCAGGAATCTTATGTGTCCAGTTCACCAATGAATTTTCATTGACTAGAACTGGGCTAGGCCCATAATAGACAATATAAATAAGCACTATGAAAGAATGAGTACATTTTCATTGTTATAAAAACTGTAATAAACATTCATCTGTATATTTTTTTCATGTTACTTTAGTGCAAATTCCTTTAAGTGGGTTTGTTGGGTCTATGTATTCACAATTTAAATTTTCATCCATAATACGAAACTATCAATTTATGCTTCCACCAGTAACACATGAAAGTGTCTGTTTTTCCATTTTGTCGCCAACAGTTTTGTTAATCTTCATCTTTGTATTTTATGACAGGCAAAAATCTATCCAAATACCATCACTTACAGTTTTTAGGTCATTATTAAAATTCCAAATTCTAATATACTTTTTGGTCAATTATGTATCTTCCTTTGAGAATTATTTATCTTCTTTTGCCTTGCCTCCTTTCCTACTGGACTACTGAACTGTTTCCATTTTTTAAGATATTTGTGGGCCACGAGAGGCCTGTATGTACACAGGTTGTTTGCTGATCCACTGTGCACAACAGTGGGGAGGGGTCTCTCACAGGTTTGGAGGAGCTTATCACAACAGTCAACTATCCTATAGCCACACAGTCTTCTTTAAGAAAAGACTAACAGAAACAGTGATGGACCAAAGCATGCAAAATTTGTGCTGCATGAAAGGTCTTTGTGCAGAAACCACAGAAGTCTCTTTAACCTTCCAGAAAGAGATCTCCTGCATTGACTCCACTGTTATACTCTCACTACATTCTGCCCCCAGAACAAATTTGAAGAAACCCATTTCTGTGATCATCACATATCTGGGAGTACCATGAATTAGAAGCCTGTAGACAGTTTTGATATATAAACTCATGTGTCAGTCACAGAGATACTTATGTAGCACACAGAGTAACAAAGACTTCTCCACATTCAGTAAGAACTAGCTCTCAGCTAACAGATTTTTTTCACTCACAGTCAAAAGCCAGTATTTAGATGTTAGTTATTTTTTTTCCACTAGCTTTTTTTTTTTTTTAAAGAGTATTATAGACATGACCAAGTTTACTGTGTTTAAAGAACGTTAAGGCAGAGATTTTGTAGAAAAATGAAAAATGGCTCCTGAGAGGTATCTTTAATGAACAAATTACCTACTCAGCTCTCTTAACAGTCTGTTTCCTTCAACAGTCCCATTTCCTCCTACTGCCTTATGAAGGTTTTAAGTCTTAATTCTCCTACTTTCAGTTTTATTTTCCTGTTTTTTACTGAGATAATTTGTTCATCATCTATGACTTCAATGACCATCTTCAATCTACTCTCTGTACCTATAGAGTAGTTCTGTATCATTACACACATCCTAGTAATTTCAGTTCATTTCCTCAAATGCAACATGTCCAAAACCAAATTAATAACCTTTATTTACTGCCAAAGCAGCCTCCTCTTCCAACTTTTATTAACAGCATGCCTCAGGATTTGTATCATAGGCCCAAATCACTCTTTTCACATTAATATTCTACATATCGCCACAAAAGCCAAGTCCTGTCAACTGCTCTTGCAACATGATTTTCCTGGTCTTTCTCTCTTCCCACAGCCATTGTGGTCCTGTTTTCCAACAGTTCATGGCTATCATTCACTTAAAAAACAACTTCCCAGGTTTCAGGCTCTCCCAACTCCAATTCACCCTGCAGAAGAGTCCTTCATTATCCCTTTGGTTACAGCATTTCCTTCTCAAAGTCTTTAGCGGTGTCTCTCAACTTCTGATTCAGTTCTGATTTCTACTTTAAATTTATGAAAAACTTGGCTTTTCTACTTATTTAACAGTTTCCCATTATTTTCTAACATAAATGTCTTTGTCATCCCATACATAGCCCAACATTAGACTCTTCCTTCATTTTTCATCCAGGTATCTAAAATACTTTCCCTAGTTTTCCCATTAACTAGTTAAATCTTATACTCATTATTCAAGGCTTTAATTCAAATCCCATCTCTTAAATATGATTTTCCTTTATAGTCCTAGTTCTAATTAAGCTCACCTTTCTCCAAACTTATATAGAACTTATCCTGTCCTTATAAATCAACTAGGTATTGCTTTATAATACTTATTAACTCATTCACAGTCTTTTAGTTAATGAAATACTGTGTTTCAGTCTACAATGAAATGTAGAGTATATTAATTGGTAGTGGTGTAGTCTCTTTTCATTAGTTGCTTCTTCCATAGCTTCAGTCCCTACAGCTCTTGATCACCTATCATGTATAATGTAATAATATAGAAAGGTCAGAATGTTATTCTTTAACTCTGTTTAATTTTAAGACCAAATAAAGTCACGTAATACCACGTTTTTCGCCTTAAGTCACTATTAAATTCTTTAAAAAAACAAACAAAAATCATTTTATTGTAGAATGGACCACAGTATTTCATTAAGTAAAAAGACTGATATGCTGTACTCAGCATATTTCTAAAACATGCAGCATAGCTAACTGTGCTACAAAACAAAGACATCTTTAAATTTGCACCAAATAAAGAAGGCACAAATTGCTTCAAAGTAATGCCCCCCTTTACTTTGAACACAATCTTTTACACCACCTGCTCAGTCACACCAGGGTGTCGTGGGATTTCATAGGTCCTGCACTTAAGCTGTAGCACCCGGTCCTCATTCAACAGCTGTGCCAGCAGGAGCACGCCATTCTAGGAGGAAGCACAGAGAGGAGCTCTAATATACCTAAACAGGTGTGTGCAGGTCAAGCAGCTCTTTCCAACAGTTTTCACAGATACCAGGCGCTCCCTTCTCAGGAAAAATACAGTCTCTTCTCTAGCTATAGTTTCTACCAAAACTTTCAACCACCACCCTCCCACTGCGCAAATTTCACCCCCATAAAGTATCCACTACACATTTCCTGGCAGCAGTAAGGACCCATAAGGGCATAAAATAGGGAAGCATAACTAGTCATTTCAGTCAACTGGTATTTTCTCCCACGCACCTCGGTGTAGAAGCGAACGTGACCTGAAGTGAAGCCCACCACGATGCAGGTCCAGTCAGGGCGGCCGGTGGAACTCCTGTTACAAGTAAAAATGATGGTCTTAAGAGCTAGCTAAGCAAAGTAAAGCAAACATATAACACTTACTTATCCTCACCTCTTCTGGCTGGCTAGTGGGATACAGAGAGCACTGGTTACGTATTCCCTAAAACAAAAAGAAAATCACATGCTTACCTGATCAATATTAGCATTTCCATTTTCCTATAATTTGATGTTCAAGGGCAGTAAGAGGAAGATGAGGTCTGTGGACCAGATTTAGTCAACGCATAAGTAAAAGCACAGTGAAACTTCACCATAAATAGGACCATAAAATTCAAGCACAGACAATCCAATGTCATATTCACTTGAGGTTAATATAAGACAATATTTTTCACTAGTTTTAGGCACATACTGATTATATGCAAACTGAGGACACATTCAACAATTCCCCAAGCAGCCTTTCCTACCATCGCTCATTCCTCTGCACCAGCTAAGAACCTGAGTGGAGGTTGGGGAGCTCTCAGTCACACCACCAGCTTTGCAAGGTGCACTATCTAGGACTCACTGTTTTTCAGTTCTAAATCTCCTATGAAATCAGCAGGAAACTTGATTTTACCAACCTGCATTTCTGACATATATATGAGGTTTCAGAATTAATGTGGCACTGTCCCCTTTAATACAAGCCCAATGCTTCCCTAAGCAGAGAAGATATAAATGACATCCCCCTTGACTTTTGGGCTGAATAAAATTAATGGAAAATAGAAGACCAGAAAAAATACAGAAAGAGTATTAGGGGATGCTCTCTGAACTCTTCTTTGAGTCCTCTCCAAAAAGTTTTTATTATTTTTTTAAAGTAGTTACATGATGAGTAAAAAATAAAAATTTGTTGACAGTCATGTCTACCACCTCTCAAAATGGAATAAATATACACTTACTAAACATTTCAAATAATGAACTTTCTCAATAGATTTACTTAAATCAGACAATTTCACATACACATTTAGCAGAGACAAAAATTAACCAGCACTTACCCTTCTTCGACATTTAAAGAACCACTCCAACCAACAGCAAATTGCATTTCTTCTTTTCCTTTATCACTATGTTTCCATTTTGCTGAAAAATTGAAGATTATCACCTAAAAACAACTTTTTATTGTACTAATGCAGTAATTTATAAATTTATTCCTGCCCCTTTACTCAATGCAAATTTAATATTCTTGTGTTAATGGAGTTGAGTCTTTTTATAGGTAAAAATGTTTAAAAACGTTTGCAAGATTTTAATAAAACTACCTCACTTCCTAAAGGCTGTATTTCTCCTTCCTCCAATTAAATCTATATTAGGCTGTCACAGTTCTGGCTGACTAAAGTTGTTAATTCTTATTACTATCTTCACCTATTTTATTTATTAAACAGCTTTTTACCTGTTAGTACAGAAAATTTTTCTACTAATGCTACTGGAGGATATATGCACTCTGTAAGTGATTCTGTAATTACTTTACATATGATCTTGTTTATGTAATGAGATTTTCCACATTCTAAAACCTTAGTTGTAAATCACCTTATGCATATTATTTCTCAGACGGGTCAGTGGCTGTTTTAGCTCTGACTGTCCTTTGCAAGAACTGGGTTATGCTCAGTGCTCCCTCTGGAGTGCCAGACAGCAATAGCTAACACATTCTGCAGCCAAGAAACAAATAAATAAAGAGGAATATAAATAGAAAAAAAAAAAAAAAGGAAAGGAATAAAGCGCTATATAAGATAAATTACAGATGCCACTATTTAACACATGTGGTAGAAATAAAATTTTCTATCCCATTTGTTTCCTGCCTTAATCTATGCAAAAATAAAGACCACTAATAATCTACTTACGCACTAAAAATACAGCTTTTTGTTCCCGGGCTATAACCATAAGATCATTGGTTGGAGATAATGATAAAACACAATCTTGAAGCCAGGAAGTTTTTTGTGTTTTGCAAGTACTTCCTTCTTCTTCCTGTGGGGCAAAACTACAATTACTGCATATGCAGAAATATTGACAGTTGAGTATTTCAGCTCAGCTTGTTTGCCTTTGAGGAACAAAGGGTAACAAGAAAGGAAAAAAGAAATCCTTAGTTCTTTTTTAAGTTCTCAGTAATATTCTTTATCAAAATATGTCAAAGATGAGCAACTAACAAAATATCCAGTAAAAACACATCTCACTTTTGCATTAATATATAGGCACTATATTTTTACATGTACACAAATAAACTAGCAAGATATTAAAAGAATGTCATGCAGGGGTCACTTTAGGAATGATTTATTAGTAGGAAATTCAGTAAATATTTTATTTACTGAAGTAGCTAACATATCTGCAACATATCTGGTGATCATGGCTGTAGAATTGTTAGTGTATTTTATAAGTCTGACTTTTTTATTTGACTAAAAGATATTTCCTTTTTCAAGGGAAAATCTATAACAAAAGGTATATTCCCATGGCTAAAATTTTGAAAATTCTCTCTTATTCCTGTACTCTGGACACACAGTTATTCATTCTAGAGAAAACCCCCATGATCAATTATTGTGTTTCCAGAGACACATATATTTATCACTCTTTCCCAACATAGCTTCCTATATACCTACTTTCATTCTCTTAAAACAAACAAAAAAGACCTTTCCACAGAAAGTTATACTTTTTAATGGCTGTGTAGTAGACCACTGTATCGATGCACCATCATTTAATGAGTCACCTACTGATGTACTTCTGTATTGTTTAGAATCTTTGTGCTGTGGCAAACTATACTATAATGAATAGCATAATAATGTATAAATATTTGTCAGCCTCAGTAGGACAAATTCCTAGAAGTGAAATTGTGTAACAAAAGGAATATCTATTACTAAATTTGCTAAGTATTGGAAATTATGATAATTATTAATTCAACTAGCAATATCTGAAAGGAGCCTGCTTCCTCCAGACTTTCCATAACACATGCTTTATTGCATTATATCTTTGTCAGTCTGACAACTGAAAAGTGGTATCTCAGTATCCCACATTTCTCTCATGAGAACAAAATGTTCCTCATACACTTACATCTTTTCTATGGACAGTTTGCTTCTTTCTTTTGCAGACTACCTGTGGAATTGCTGCCCTTGTTTTAGCTGATTTTTTTTTTTTTTTAAGATTTATTTGTGCATACAGAACTAAGCCAGAAGTGCAGGGGCAGTGAGAGGATTCACCAGACTGGGGAGCAGAATAGGCAGATCGTTGAAGTACAATGCTGAGGAGAGCAGTGGGCAGGTTAGAGGTGGTCTACCATGCCATCTGGGATCACCTGCGGGGCAGGCGGGAATTGATACTGAAGTGGCTTTAGCTTCTTAGTGCTGTGTTTAACCCGCTGTGCCAACAGGAAGGGCACTGTTTTAGCTGATTTTTATATACACTTTTTACAAAGAAGGAAAATTGGTGGTTTGATCAGAACTATAATTGGTCCCAATCTACATGGTGGCTTAATTTTTTTCCAAACAGAAGTTTTTAACTACTATATAAGTATCCATTTATTTTCTTATGATTTCTAGGTTTTACGTTCTGTGGACTCCTAGCTACTTAAATTTACCTACTGGCTTTTGGACTAAATTAATCAAGAGGGGTGGAAGAAGAGATGCAGGCTGCTTTCAGTTTTACCAAAAAAAAAAAATTACATAATGATGATACTTTAAAAGATTTCAATAAACATGCCTACTAGAATAATGAAACTTAAAAAGATTTTTAAAAACAGAAAATGATCCTAGTCAAAATATTATAGTATTTCTAGAAAAGTAAATGTTCTTACCAGGACAGTATCAGAAAAATGTTTAAAATTTAAATAAATAAAATATGGGTTATGGGACACTTTCATGCCTAAGAACTTTGTAATAGTCCTGTAATTATTTTACTTTCCTAGGAATTGAATAGATTTGGAGTCATCTTATGCAAGGTAAGGATGCTGTACCCTGTTACCAAAAATTAGGAGAAAAGTAATATTGGCAAAATCCCATTAGGAGTATATTTTAGGAATTTTGCCATTTAGTTTACCATTTTTAATGTACACTTTTCTACAGGGTAATTATCCCCCTAAGATAAAACTTAAAAAGGCAGTTGCAGTTCACTTTGCACTGGACCCACAATGTCTGCATCTGGGCCAGCACATGCACAACTCCTTTCTCTGGGTGGCTTGGTGCAGCCTGCTCAGCCAAAGGCTCAGGCACACTGTGCTAGGCTTCCCAGGGGGCCACAATCATGACAATTCTGGGGGTCAGGACCTTCCCAGAGATCACTCTTATCTTCAAGTAGGACACTAGAGGGGGCAGGTGGTGCATGGATATTGTATTTCGTAAGAAATTAGGGAGAGCTCTTCAATTTATTGAACTTCTTGATTCTTAGAGTAACAGTCACATCTTACTGCAGTAAAGGATCTAAACAGTGATCAAAAAAGGGGATAACACAGCTCTAATTTTGGCAAATTTGTAAAAATAATTTAAAAATAATTGAACATCCATACACAGGTTTCTTCCCTTTACCACACTCCAAAATAATGCTTGAATAGCAAATATTGAAAATTTTGTAAAAGTTACTTTTCAGTAAATATTTCTTTCCTATTTTTAAAATAATGTCACCAATTGGGATCAGACTAATTGGTAAGTGCTGAAAAGACAGTGAAAGAAACTCAAAAGGTAGGAGATTTATAAACATTGGTTATACCCCTCACTTTATAGTACAGAAAATAAAGGCTTAAGGAATTGCTCCCTACCCCTGAATCAAGGTAAAAGCCCAAATCAGAACCTAGACTTTTGATTTTAATTCTGGGTTCTCTCCATGCCATCTCCTGCTTATCTGAGTGTGTAGTTGCAACAGCTCTATGAAACCAGTCGTAACTTGGGATATGACTCTGGTCTGTGAGTAACTGAAGCCTTTTATCAAAAAGGATATCCTACTACTGAGCCTATCTTCACTTAGGATTAATTCTAGTCTCAGTAAATGAAGTCTTTTCTCAAAAAGAACTACCCTACTTATAGCTTTGTACCAGACTGAGTCAGAGCTGTAGGAAAACCACTTGAACACACGAGTATATTCTTGTGGCATTTCTTTAAGCATGCCTTTAAAAGTACTTTTGCTCTCTTTTTTGTTTTTCTAGCTGAAGTTCCAGTTCCAATGGCAACTCCATCTTACTCTTCTACCATTTCTAAAAAATTGTTTTACTTAACCCAATATATCCAAAATATTATCATTTCAAGTATTTTATTGTTTTTCATATTAATTCCTCATAATCCAGTACATATTTATTTTTATAGCATATCACAATTCTTATTTGCCATATAGCAAAAGATCACTATTTATATATGGTGAGTCCTAATGTTTACACTTACTGCAATTTTAAGTCTTACTATTTACTGCCATCTACATGTGTTCCGATTGCTTTTCTCCCACACTAGACTGAAACCCAGAAGAAACATGGTCCACAAACAGCATTTCCATTTCTCCTTACTAGAATTCACAAAGATACCTGAACAAATTATTAAGTGCTTGTGTGCAGGAAACTATGACAAGCAAGCAATTCGGAGTTAGTATACTTAAAAATGTTTTCTCTAAAGTAATACACTAAGATTTAACTGTTCAAGATTTTAACTAAAGTATAATTACAAGTCAGAAAGCTCTATGTAGATACAGAACACACCCTTTTGGGTGGGCCTAGAACTCAGTGTCAAGTTGTGATTGAGCACCAGCCCAGTGTCAAAGGTGAATTTTGCCCCCATTAGAAACAACCAAGATGAATGTACAAGAAACAGGTTATCACTTGGCTGGAAATAAAATCTGGGAAACTACTCCACAGAAACTGGTTATATTCCTACCCCTACTTATTAGCCTTCTCATAAATTCATGTTTGGGAACACAAAACCAGAAAAAGAAGCTTCCTGTGGATTAGCCTTCCTAATTCATCTATTGAGAAAATAACCCAAGTTCTGCAAGGATTTTTCTTTGAATTGATGCCAATAAATGTTTTCTTGATCCACACAAATATGGAAACCACTGATGTGTATTATTAAAGTAAGTTCTTTCTAAATACCTAGTTTTTCTTTCTTTTGATTTTAAGCCCACAAATATGCCAAGTATTATTTTTTCACAATGTGGCAGATGGTAAACTGCAGCCAATTAATTGATTTCATCAATGGCTGGCCTCCTTGGAGCTGGCAAATGACCGTGTTGGGGAATTTGTTTTGCACATCTGCTGCTGTAGTAGCCAGGTAGCCATCGAGTAGCTACATAATAGTTTTGACTTTGGTGCATATGTCCATCACGTGCAACTTTTATTGTAAAAGTCACTGTCATTACACTAACTTTCAAGGTCAATTTCACACAGTAAAGCAATGCCAGTAAAATCCAATTTAATTATGGGGCTGTCCTCACATACTATAATTCTAAATCATAGAAATGAAAGTCATCTACACTCTTAAAACTCAGAGACATAAGTGTTTCAACAATTCTGAACACAAAAAGTAACAATGTTACATGGGTTTTTCTTTTTTTTTCCTAGTTGGCCATTAATCTTTATAATGCTCAGTATTTCTAAAACTTTTAAGCAACAAAACCATTATATATACCCCACAAAATTTCACACAAAATTCCAACAGATGAAAAGGCTAAAAGAAGAGAAGCAGCAGCTCTGCAGACCCAACAGAGCTATGGTAACAGAAACAAATGTTTTGTTGAAGCCATTTTTCTAGATCAGACACTAAATTTCTCAAATGAAAGATCTTAAGGTCTTTTCAAAATTAAAGTTGAGCAAGGCTTCATACTTTCTAAATTTAATTACCGGTAACTCAAAGAAAACATTTTATAAATATAATTAGTCATAAATATTGACAACTTCAATCTCAATTTTTAAAATTACTTCTCTCCCTAAGTTAGAGGAAAATGACTACATAACCCTGTAACTCTTAAAATATGACTCAACTGTCAATTGAAGTAGCATTTAATTTGGT